GTAGCTAGCTGGCTTACATGCTTTCACTAATGTAGTTATTAGGAAGCTGATTATAAGGGGGAGGTTAATGCTTTAAATACTAAGGCTGATGACTAGAAAAGCCAGAGGGTGGTATCAAGGGCTCCTTGCTCAAAATGGTTTTCCTAGTCACTGAGTTTGACTTTGCCATATAGATGCAGGGACATGTGGTCTATTCACAAGAGGATTGGCTAGTCTTAGCATTAAATTGGGTGGATTCAATAGCAGAAATTTATAATCTCTCCACCAGCAAACACAAAACAGAAGATGCAGAGTGTGGGTCTTTCAGGGTCAAAGGTTCCTGTACCACTAAGACTGGGTGGGCCGACTGGAGCAGCAGCTGCAGCAGCCACAACAGAGAACGCAAGACCTGAAATGATCAACGAAAGCTGACAGCTTTGGGACGATTACCCCATGGAACAGTAGCTAGTTGGTTGTAGAACTTAGGGGGAGATGCCTAAATGGCAAGATGAAGAGCTCTGTAACACTGGCTAAAGCGGTGAGGCCGAAGGCTGAGGTGACGGTGAGCACATTTCGGAAGCTGTTCTAAGTGACTGTATCATGCTGCCAACCTGAATTGCAGCCTTCTGATTTCCTTAATAAACATCATATTCAGGGGGGGAAAGAAATTTAGATATTTGCTCTGCTGAATGGCAGTAAGTTGATTGTATAGTGAACATTTTATTGTGCTCATGTGAAACTTACACATAGAGCAGTTCTGAGAATAGAGCTTCACTGTTTACAGTCAGAAAAGTTATGCATCAGAGTCGCACCCTTTTCCATACATTTATGCTGAGTCTTCAATATGGTTTACATCTCAACATTAAAAAAACCAAAATTTTCACCACTGAGCCAATAGACAGTATTGTGATAAACAGATAAAGTATTGAAGTTTTCAGCTCTTTAACTTGTTTGGATCCACAGTCAACACCCATAATAACAGCAGTTAAGAAATCAAAAGATTGCACACCCATGTTTATCGCGGCTTTGTTCACAATGAGTTGGAAACAATCTAATTGCCCATCAACAAATGAATGGATAGAGAAGCTGTGGTACATTCACACAATGGAATACTATGCTGCATTGAAAAGCAAGGAACTCATGCAATCTTATTCAAAATGGGTGACCCCGGAGGACATTATGTTGAGTGAAATATTTCAGTCACAAAAGGACAAATACTGCATGGTGCCACTGTTGTAGAATGAGACTGACATCAGGGTTGGGGTAAGACTGAGAAAAACTGGATAAATTGTGTATGCTGCATTGAAACAGATGAGGGAGAGAACAATTTAAAAGCGATCTATGATAGGGCATTATGGTTATCACAAGAGTCCAGAATTAAAGTTGCATAGTGGAGTGAACTCTGGGCGGTGGTGGGGGCAGCGGGAGGACTGCGGGGGGATTGTATACCAATCAAAGAATTTTTCTTTTACTTTTCAAAGAGAGGAGTGAACTGGTGGGGGGAGGGGCGGGTAGGGAAAAAAGTG